ACTCAGTGTATATATGCCTATTTCTGCTGTTGTTCACATCTTCTTCTCCTGTTGTTTACCATTCTCTAATCTTGGCTGGCTCACCACTATCAGGTTTTGGGCTGTATTCTTGACAGTAGGTGTCTATGACTTTTTGGTGATAAATTTCAACAATAAATGGACAGCACACAATCCACTTGTTTTAAAATAATATATTAAAACATATTGAACGCATATACAACGTAAATAGAAGCTTACAATGTTAAATCTAATAGCATTTCAAAGTCTGATCCAAATTTGTTAACAAAATCTGTTGATGTTTTATGAATGTCAACTTCAAGTTTAATAACCTATTCTTTAAACTACCGACTGTGTGCCTGATTATATCTGTGGTATGGATCCTGATCTAAAATTACTACCTTCACTCATAAAGCATATCATTGGAAGTATGTTTTCCAGCAGTCTCATTCTTTCTGAGTGTTGACTAAATGGTTTCTACTTCTTACTTGTTAGTGCGGGGTAGATCATTACCCTGCCAGTAAACTAATGCTGGATTTGATACAAGGGCATTTCTCTTACAAACTTGTCAACCTCTTTAATTTGCTTTGCTCTTAGAGAATTTGGTTTATTTGTTTTCTGCTATCCATCTATGAACCAATCACTCTGAATTTTATACAGTAAAGTCTGTAAGTCAGTTGCAGATATTATCCTTGTAAAATCAGAAGATAAGTTAGAATTTTGAAGGAAGTTTCACTGTTGAATTAATGTTAAAAACAATGCAAGGTGTCAAAATGACAAAATAATGTTCACTAATTATTTAGTAAATAAAGCATTGTGGTATTAGTAAAACAAAAACAAAAGACATTTACTTCTTGTATAGCAAACAATGAACAACGGAAAGTTAATTAACGAACGGAGACGTAACAGTTATTTAAGACTAAATTAAGTAACATAATATAAATAAAATGGTTCACGAGGCATGCAAGTGAGCAGCTCATAATGTAATTCTATAGCGTAACTGCACTTTCTTGAGTTATTTACAACTTATAATGGCGCGAATAGTAGTTATACACCTTCAGAGGGCAATAAAAATGGCAAAATAACAATAAAATTTAATTATAAATAGATGTATACTGTTACGAACTACTTAGATAAACTTAGGATAAACGAATGTAGTTTAATGTTACAATTGGAAGTCATTCTAGAAAAAAAGGATAATTTAGGTTTATTTCGATTTTTTTTTTTGGTGGTTACAAGGTCGGTTGAATTGACTGATCCCGTTTCCAGATAGGATAGAGAAAATAATAGATAAACTACAAAGTTTTACTGAAAAAAAAAAAACGTTTGAAATGCATTTAGGAGGTTTTAGGGGTTACACAAAGGATATTTGAGATTTTTGAGATGAGAAAAAGTATTCTTAATTGTAACATGAAAGTTACTTTGTACTCGGACTATTCAAAACATATATTCATGGACAAATCTTTATTTTATTTTATTAAAAATACTTTGCTAAAAAACTTGATTTTTTGTATGTGAAATACTTATAATATTAACTGAAAGACTGCCAAATTTTGTGAAGACATGCACAATATACTGAGAGTTAGAAGTATTAAATCTATAAAGACTTTAATCGAGTACAAAGTGGTCATGTGGTTGGTCAAATTGATGGAGCCGTGTTGAGAGAGTTAAAATGATATATTATAACAAGTCT